TTTGGTCATAGGTTGGCAGTTCTTAGGTTCTTATTAATTGCAGTCCCCCGAATTCGCTATCCACCAATCCAGCCCTAATCACTAGCTGGGAAAACTCTTTTACTACTTAACCTCTCCTGTAAAAAGCAAATATTTACAATAATATTTCCTTTTAACTTTTTCTCATTCCACCCCCCAACCCCAATGAAACTTACGAATGCACAGATGTACAACTTCTCTAGGCTGACAATTGAGCTGAACGAGCCTGAAGAGGGTGTGGCGCCAACGGATAGCCGATTTCGGCCCGATCAACGCCTGATGGAGCAAGGGGACTGGGACGAAGCTAACGCTGAGAAGGAACGTCTCGAAGCCAAGCAACGCGCTAAGCGCCGCGCGTGGGAAGACTCAATGCCGGAAGGACAGAGTAAGCCATACGGGATAATTTGATACTGAATGTGTTATCATAGATGCTTCTTTATTTTGAGCTCCTTATTTTATTCTCTCCTCGCTTTATCCTTTACTCTACGGTCTCAGTCCTGCTACATTCTTGGCTAAAATGTATTTAATTTCAGTCTAATTTGGCTGTCGTTTTTCGTGATTATGAACGCTCCGTAGTCTATTGGAGGATTTGCATCCAGCATAACATTATCACAGTTAACTTGAGGGGCTTGCTTGTAGAAGGAATGTCCAGTACTAGTCTTGCCTGCCTTTCTGATCAGATATATATATGTACATGTGCATGTACGTATGTATGCGAATGTGTGTGTGTTTGTGTGTGAAGCATTCAGGCTACATCAATCTTCTCTTTCCCTTATTTGTGCCTCAAGCTTGGCACAAAGTAGGCTTGCTTTAGGATTTTACGCAAACTCGGTGTATTTCCCACAAAGCCGTCATCTCTTTAATATTATGCCCATTCTCCGAATGAGGCTTAGGACTTGTCCTTCATAGCTGAACTGGCTGTAACTCACTGTACGACTTATCCATCTCCCACCGTTACAATCCCTGACTTTAAGAGAATGCTTAAATTCTCTATGGGAATTGTAATGTATGCTTTCAATGTATACCACAATTCGTTATAAAACTAGGCTTTTAGAATTGCACGATGGTTGTCTTGCACTACCAAGCGTTCTTCTCCGAGGAGGATTCAATCGTGCTCATAGAATTAAGCAATTAAGTTATAAGTGATGAGAAGGCTTTCATATCATGGAGTATCGGGCTTAAAGTTTATATTTATGCCGTAAACCATGTTTGAGCAAATACCTTACATGACTCAGTAGCCAAGGTACATGAGATTGGGTATCAATTAAAGTAGACTTGTTTAAGCCGTTCTTGAGAGATTAAACGGGTATTTCCAGGCAAACTCAACTTTGGGGCAAAAATCCATTATTGAACTTTCCTGCTTAATTCAGGCTTGAGATTAGGAGATCTTTGCTAAGTAAGATCTTATTCTCTTCAGAAGCGATTACGGAGGATAGCTAGACTATTCTGTGATCATCATAAGTTGACGTCCTATCTTTAGGAATTCTCTGCTACTCTACAAGTGATTAGTCATATAGAGCTTAGGGTTGTACTCGCTTTTCCTTCTTACATTATTGCCTTGTCACCAGCTTGTATCTACTGGCTGAAGTCCCTAAAGGTCATTCTTGCCTATGAGGCTGATTGGTTATTTCTTAAATAGAAGCTATAGTCACCCTAAATCGCCTAAGATTGTGAAGGGCTTATAGTTAAATTTTCCTGCAATGATACGAGAAGGCCTCACTTCCACTACATTTTACTTAGCCTTTGCCTCTAAAAGATATTTTTATCCAGGTTAGACTGAAATTTCTCCTTCGCCTTGGTCTTATCATCATCCTTAATGGGAGTCAAACTCGATTAGCACAGTGTATATTTTCTGTATGTTTCCGTTACGCCACTCTCAGCATATCTAGTTTAGGCGAGCAAATCCTTGATAGTTGAGACGTCCAAAATTAAACAAAGCATTACCCCTCCACTGAATATCGCTTAGCCTTGCTTCTCGTATTTTTCGACCTCTAGCTCTTATTAACACCCATCAACGTGACTCTAATTCAGATTCTTCTCTCGGGTACCAATTATGTCAGGTAATGCTTTTTTGAAAGCAAGGCTTAGTCAAATAAGTTGGCATAGGGATGTTCTCTCATTTCAGCATAAGCATCTCTGATCATTAGGGCGATTTGAAATGGTAATCGTCACATTGAAGATTTATGGAAAAATTAATTTTGACTCTAAGCCTTTGTGGGCTTGCGCGGAGTTTGTCTCAAGAGGCATGAATTTTAAACAGAATAATTAGCCTGTCTATTTTTTTTCTCTTTCATTCTATAAAATCTTGATGATGAATTTGTAGAGGTTACTGTCTTTGCTTATTCCTCATTCACATATGCCCTTTTTTCATTCTAATTATTCCTATTCTCATCCAACTCAGGTGTATCCTCCACCTCTCCAGAGCAAGACTT